GCCACAGCTGTCAGCGATAACCACGCTTTGAGCACGGCCATTTTCGAGTGAGTTCCACTCTCCATCATTTAAGCGGTCTCCGGCTGTATACTTTCCCCCTCGTATTGCATTTTTGGGGATCATCTTTCATCAAGAAGAGAAGCCTATAGGAGCTAAGTAAGTGTTTGCGTGTAGGGGAGCACCCAACACAGTTAACTGACTTTATATTATACAACCGGTGTGTCTAATCCTGGATGCTGATTGGTTAAAACCGCATTCCAGCCGGTGTCTATTCCACAAATTACCACCTGCTAAAGCTATGACTTTGAAATGCCTATTTACTCTGTTCCATCTCACTGCATAATACACTGTTTCGTCAACCCAGCCAGACAATTTGTAAACTTGGTCTCCACTGTAAAAAGCACCTAGACATTGTCTCCCATTTCTTTTAGACTAGCAATTGGTTTTCAATAGCAGAGATTTGTATAAACCATGCTGTCTGTTTCTCTGACATTTGCAACATTGTTTCAGTATTGAAATTCGATCTCCAGTTGTATAGTTAAGCAATAAGGCACGAGGGGGTGTGGTATATGGCCAAATACCATGGCTAAGGGCTGTTCTTAGAGTGCCTGGATACAGCCCTTAACTGTGGGATATTGGCCATATACCACAAACCACTGAGGTGCCTTATTGCTATTATAAACTGGCTACCAACGTAATTAGAGCACTAAAAATAAATGTTTTGTCATACCCGTGGTATACGTTCTGATATACCACGGTTGTCAGCCAATCAGCATTCAGGGCTTGAACCACCCAGTTGATAATGAAGCAATAAGGCCCAAGGGGGTGTGGTATATGGTCAATATACCACAGCTAAGGGCTGTTCTTATGCACAACGCAACGCGGCGTACTAGAACACAGCCCTTAGCCGTGGTATATTGGCCATATATCACAAACCCCCGAGGTGCCTTTTTGCTATTATAAACTGGCTACCAACGTAATTAGAGCAGTACAAATAAATGTTTTGTCACACCTGTGGGCTCGAACCACCCAGTTTATAATTGCATATATACCTTTCTGGATAGTTTATTGCACACACACACAGTAGGTTACAGCGCTTCTAAGGGTAGGCCTACCAAATGTTATCGAATGTTTAATAGGCATGACACGGAGTACAAGGAAAACAGGTACCGGATTTCAGGCTACATTGGTAAAAGATTTACTCTGTTTATTTGCAAAGGCCTACATGCAAACATTGCCCATAGCAACGTCCTGGCTAATATGCTAATCAAGTCTGTGTGGCTAATAACACATCAAAGTCAAGCGGAACATTTTCACTAGGCTATTCCATTTCGACTAAAGTGAATGTTGTTTCTGTGGATGCACAATGCAGTGCTGCAGGGTCTCCCATTGGGGCACCAGGTCAAGTATTGGTAGCTGCCAATGGCACTGTTCAAATTTAAATAAAGATTGAAGTACATTTTAGAACGCAACACACTTTACAGTAAAACAACAAAATTAAGGAGATACAAGAAAAACAAGCAGGAAGAATGTTTGTATCATGGCTGTGATGTCACTAGTGTTATTGGGATGTCCAGGTTGAGCGATTTTATTGACAGGTATCTTTCAGGTATTTGGGGGGGGGGAGGGGGAGGAGGAGAGGGAGAGTTATCCACACTCTTGCTTTGACCACCACGTGACAGAAAGAAAACAGTTATGAGCTGAGCCATTCTGTTACAGATTTGGGAACAGAATTAAACATGTTAATCACTTAATAAATCACAAACCAAATGATCACTTAACTATACTGAACAAAAATATAAACGCAACATGTAAAGTGTTGGTCCCATGTTTCATGAGCTGAAATAAAATATCCCAGAAATTGTTTCAAATTTGTTTACATCCCTGTTAGTGAGCATTTCTCCTTCTCCTTTGCCAAGATAATCCATCCACCTGACAGTTGTGGCATATCAAGAAGCTGATTAAACAGCATGATCATTACAAAGATGCACCTTGTGCTGGGGACAATAAAAAGCCACTGTAAATTGTGCAGTTTAGTCACACAACACAATGCCACAGATGTCTCAAGTTTTGAGGGAGCGTGCAATTGGCAAGCTGACTGCAGAAATGTCCACCAGAGCTGTTGCCAGAGAATTTAATGTTAATTTCTCTACCATAAGCCGCCTCCAACGCCTCACAACCGCAGACCACCTGTAACCACGCCAGCCCAGGACCTCCACATCTGGCTTCTTCATCTGCGGGATCGTCTGAGACCAGCCACCCGGACAGCTGATGAAACTGTGGGTTTGCACAACCGAAGAATTTCTGCACAAACTGTCAGAAACTGTCTCAGGGAAGCTCCTCTGCGTGCTCGTTGTCCTCACCAGAGTCTTGACCTGACGGCAGTTTGGCGTTGTAACCGACTTCAGTGGGCAAAGGTCTTGATTTTCAGAGATTGGTGGATGTGTAACTTGGTTGGGTAATAGAAAATATGGGAATCGTTAAGCTCTTCCCCCACTGCCATTTCCTATCTGTCAGTCAATGGGGGTTTTGGTCAATGTCTCAGTCTCATGTAACCAGACAAGGATGTCTCTGAATATTGAGGCAGCACCCCTCACCTCTCTGATTCAGAGGGTTAAATGTGTAAGACACATTTCAGTTGAATGCATTCAGTTGTACAACTGACTAGGTATCTCCCTTTACTAGCTGTAAAGTCTGACATAAGAGATTGGTCTATGGCTAAAGGGTTTGTTGACATCCAGAGTCAGGAGGATACATTAAAAACGGCATCCTATTCCCTACATAGTGCACTACTTTTGACCAGAGCCCTATGGAACCCTTGTCAAAAGTAATGCACTATATAGTGAATATGGTGCCATTTGGGACACAGAATAACACTTTCTTCCCAGATTCGGATAGTCAATGCCATGCAGCACAAAGAGAATCAGTGAATGGCTTTGGCCCATGATGTTTGTTTACATGTTGTGCCTCACATCGCGACTCGAATGATGGTTGTCATGGCACAAGGTTCAGGAGCAGATTTCGGCTCAGCTTGGCTTGGCTCTGTAGTATGAGTCAGGCATCTGTATTGTCTTGCAGGGATGACTAGGACTCACACACACACACTATTGCTCCACCATCCCTGCAATAGTGTGTGGGTCCTATTCATCTCCCTATTCGTTTTCCTTAGCCTAGACCGACCCCCTAAAGCACAGGTGTCAAACTCATTCCACGGAGGGCGAGTGTCTGCAGGGGTTTGGCTTTTCCCTTGTACTTGATTTTGATGAATTAAGGTCACTAATCAGTAAAGAACTCCCCTCATCTGGTTGTCTAGGGCTTAATTGGAAGGAAAAACCCAAAACCTGCAGACACTAGGCCCTCCATGGAATGAGTTTGACACCCTAAAGGGATGTGCTTTTGACTATATTGACTGTCTGTCTGCAGGAGTCATAGCCCTGGTAACTGTGTAACCAGGCCAGCACTGTACAGCTTGGCTGGGTTTGGCCCTATAGTGTGGATCAGACCGATATGTGTGTCTGTGTGCAGGGGCCATGGCCTTCCTGGGGACAGCAGTGCGGAGGGTGGCTAGCTGCCGTCCGGCCCTCTCCCCCCTGTGCCACTCTGCCACCACCTCCCGTTGCTACAGCTCCAGTTCAGAGCCCACCACGGAGAAGAGCGTCCCCTACGAGAACGTACTCAAGGTCTGTGTGACGTTTTTTGTGTCACCCTCTATGGTTATATCTGAAATGGCACCCTAATCCTTAGTCCCTATGGGTCCTGGTCAAAAGTAGTGCATTATACACTGAGTATACCAAACATTAGGAACACCTTCCTAATATTGAGTTGCCCCCCTATTGAGTTGAGTTTTACCCTCAGAACAGCCTCAATTAGTCGGGGCATGGACACTACAAGGTGTCTAAAGTGTTCCACAGGGATGCTGGCATATGTTGACTCCAATGCATCCCACAGTTGTTAAGTTGGCTGGATGTCCTTTGGGTGGTGGACCATTCTTGATACATACGGTGAAAAAACGGCTAGCTGGAGTTCGTCTGAGCGGTTGGCTTCTGAGCCCTCACCTGCTATATACAGTACTTAGTGCTGATTCTGACTTGGATTCAGACCCTCTACAGGATGTCCAGTAAGAACAAGGTGGATGCTTCTCCTTTCATGGTTTTTATTCCCTTTCTTCCTCATCACCACAAATTAGGAACACACTTCGGGTATTTACAGTGGATCTTGGAATAACCTGGAATCTTACTTGTGTGGTTATTTCGATGTTCGCACAACATTGACATTCTTGTTACTGTCGACAATAAAAAGTATTCAGAAACCGTGCGTCATCTCTCTTCGGACGAAGATAACACTCTGACCTGAGTGGGCGGGTGCAGTGTCCAGATGCGCATTTCCAAGCGCTCTGATTGGTTTGGAATGGTAGCACTATGGCGGTTGAGTGACCACTAAGTTAGACTGAGCAGCCAAACTAACAGCATTTCAGTTCTTGGCACAAACCGGTGCGCTTGGCACCTACTACCGTACCCTGTTCAAAGGCACTTACATTTTTTTGTCTAGCCCATTGAATGGCACATATACTCTCAAGGCTTAAGAATTCTTCTTTAACCTGTCTGCTCCCCTTCATCCATATCAATAAGGGATCATAGCTTTCACCTGGATTCACCTGGTCAGTCTATGTCATGGAAAGAGCAGGTGTTCTTAATGTTTTCTATACTCAGTGAATAGGGTTTTATTTATGTGTGTTGCAAGACCATCATTGTAAATAAGTATTTGTTCTTAATTGACTAGCCTGGTTAAATAAAGAAATTAATAGGTTAAATGAGGACCACAATGGTAATGTCTCTAACTTATTTGTGTATGCATCCTCAACAATTTTGGTATATGTATCTGTTGCCTGTTTAAAAAAAAAAATATTTTATGTATTTTCATTGTGAGAAGAAAATCTAATGAGAAATGTAGTTTTGCAATGTGTGCCTTTTCCTATTCCATTTAAACAAATCTCATGGCAGGTGGAGGAGGGTGGCAGTGGGCCTACCAAGCCCCTTCCCAAGTCAGCAGAGGCTGTGGTAATCGGAGGGGGAAGCCTGGGATGCCAGACCGTCTACCACCTAGCCAAGATGGGCATGACCAACGTGGTGCTGCTGGAGAGAGACCGACTGACCGCCGGAACCACCTGGCACACAGCTGGTAGGTAGTACCCACCTAGAAGCCTATCTGGGCTGTGGCTTATGCAACTATGGATTCATGAATGTGTAGGGTTTGTTTGTAAATGGATTCAAACTGTATATCAGTGTTTTTTAAATCCTGGTCCTGGGGACCCAAAGGGTAATCTGTGACCAACCGGCTCGATTTGGTTTTCTGTAACAACATTTGAAATGGTGTTTTTTACATTGGATAAAAGTAGAGACTCCGAGATAGAAAATGGTATATCATACACTACCGTTGAGGAACAATGGGAAAGTAATTCTGCTTTGAAAGTTGATTTTGAGAAATGTTGAATGTTTTGATACACCTACTGGAGAGCTCTTCTTTGTCTACACCCATTCAGCATCGTTCACACCCTCTTAAGCTTTAGCCCCACCCATCTCGTTAAGGATTCACATGTGAGGCTATGTACTAAACAACCAAAGATTTCAAGACTAAAGGCTGGTTTATACTACAGGTGTGTTCGTCAATTTAATCTGGAGTGCCAGAGTGTGCTCTGAGCGTTCGTAAGCTCCGAGCGTTGTCAGATTGTCCGTTCGTAAGTTCAGAGTGTTTCGCTCTCGGAGCGCACACTGGACGCTCTGGCCGAGGAGTAGGTTTGATCCGAGTGTTCTGACCTAACAACAGTACCCAAGCTAACTGGCTAACGTTGGCTAGCTTGCTAGCTACAGTACCAGTCAAAAGTTTGGACACACCTACTCATTCAAGGGTTTTTCTTTATTTTTACTATTTTCTACATTGTAGAATAATAGTGAAGACATCAAAACTATGAAATAACACATATGGAATCATGTAGTAATCAAAAATATATTTGAGATTCTTCAAAGTAGCCACCCTTTGCCTTTATGACAGCTTTGCACATTCTTGGCATTCTCTCAACCAACTTCACCTGGAATGCCTACACATACTGACCAGCTCATGTTATGGACAGAAGCGCGCAACATGGCAGACCCATCTCTCGGCATGTCCAGCCCACTCATTATCTCAGCCAATCATGGCTAGCGGGAAGGTTGCTTTCTTTTTTCCATGTCTAAACCAACTAGGCTCTTAATTTAACCATTTTATTCATATTTACAGATGCCATACAAGTTTGTTGTTAAGGCACATGAAAGTTCACATGTTCCAGAAGGCATTTCTGCCAAATAACGCATTTTGATAAAAAAAAAAGTTTACGTTCAAATGGCGCTCCTGTGAAGTAGTGACGCGCGACATACGCCACGTTTCCTGAAATGAGTCACATGGAGGATGCATTCAAGTTAATGTCACATTCAATTTGGATAGAAAAATAAATGCATTATGATGACCACCAGGGTGTACCCTTCCATGCATAGAGATTTTTTTCACTTTTGGTTACTTGACCTGAATTGCATACTCTATGAATATGACCATAGCACATGATTTATGGCCTTTGGGGGGGCGGTGACGGGCATTCTTATGACATTGCCAGCAGTAAGATTTTAGCTCAATTTCCAAAAAGACATGCCACCGAAATTGACGGAGTGGGTAAAGCACTGCGGACCCGGTACTGGGTCCAAAACAACCACACAGAGTTTAACAGGTTTAAATGAAAAAAATATAACCACTGGGATTGTTAAAGGGGAGTCTAATTGGTTGGAAACCTCATTATTCTCTGTCTTCGTCTCTCGCTCTCTCTTTTTGTCTGTCTCTCTCGCTTTTTCTCTCTCCTGCTCCCTCACTAATCATCACTATCTCTTATGGTCTTGTGGTGTCTCTGTCCCAGGTCTGCTGTGGCAGCTGAGGCCCAGTGATGTGGAGGTGGAGCTGCTAGCCCACACCAGACAGGTGATCAGCCATGACCTGGAGCAGGAGACCGGTCTAGAGACTGGCTGGATCCAGAACGGAGGCCTCTTCATCGCATCCAACAAGCAGAGGCTGGACGAGTACAAACGCCTCATGTCGGTACGTACATAAAGGCCCAGACTACACTACACTAGACTGGACTGGTGTCTTAGATTTGACTGGTTGGGGTAGAGGTGTCACTCTCTCTCTAACAAGCAGAGGCTGGACAAGTACAAACGCCTCATGTCGGTATGTATTGTAGGCTACTGTATGTGCCCTGCCGCTCCAGACTAGACTGGACTCAACTGAGTGAACTTATAGAACATGTTGGGGTAGAGGCTGGGAACTGTACCTATCAGCCTTACTGGTCCAGACTAGACTGTGTAACCTACCTCTCCAGTGAATTCAGTAAATAGGCCAGAGGTAACTTGTGGGTGTGAGATGAAATGCTCAGTTTGATTTTGATTTATTAGGATCCCCATTAGCTAGTCTTACTGGGGTCCGACATATAACGAAAAAGACATTACAGACCAGACTTTACAATTTGACTATGCAAACAATTAGGATTTTCCAATACATGAATGTTTCTTATAAAAACAAGAAGTGACGCAGTCAGTCTTTCCTCAACTCTTAGCCAAGAGAGACTGGCATGTATAGTATTAATATCAGCCCTCTGATTACAATGAAAAGCAAGATGTGCCGCTCTGTTCTGGGCCAGCTGCAGCTTAACTAGGTCTTTCTTTGGAGCACTTGACCATATGACAGTTTGATTATTGCACAAATAATCTAGAAATCAAATCACACAACTCACATATGGGGCTGGGGCAGGGGGGGACAAGTTAGCAAATATAGAGGGTTTATGAAATGTAATATCGTTGTGTCAACATTTTTCAGTCATTGAACTAGGGCAATTCCACAGTAACAGAATTATGCTGACTTAGATTTTTCACTTTTAAATGTATGCCAAACAAAAACCAATTATTGCAAAGTTAGTCCTACTCCAGTTTCCTTTTCAGCTCATTTATCACCTGATTTACTTAACAAAAGGCACATGTCAATAGGTGGTCCAGGTAAGTCATGACGTAGCACAAGTGGGGGATAAGCCTTCCTCTTTTTGTTCTCTATGGCTCCTCTATTGTTCCTCAAGCAAGGGGGAAGCCGATGACGTCACAAATTTCCATCATAACAAATCCTTGAAGTTTGCAGTTGTGTATAAAAAAACACTTCTTTACTCAACGTCTCTTTTGACCCTTTAGTGTGTGTACGTTACTGTATTTCTACTTGGGATATCGCTTTACTACAGTAAAAGTATGTTTTGCTGTAGGACGTCTTTAAGAAACCATACAACTCTATGCATAAGGAGGACTTAACAATTTCCACTGAACATTGTGCATAGAGTTGTATTGTTTGTTTAACTTTGCAATCATTGGTTTTTGTTTGACATACATTTAAAAGTGAAAAATCTGTTGCTGTGGATTTCTATTTTAATTGTTTATTATTTTCCCCTAACCCTACCACCCCTCCCCTAATTGGAGGTAACTAATGGACAACAATAATTAGGCTTCCACTTCCAGCTTATACATTAACTTCACGGACAGTATATTTTACATTAGTTGTCTTTTGTTTGTTTTTAGTCCCAGCCTTCAGCTACCCTCAACCCCTCCCATCTATCTCTGAAAACCATCGTTTTGATTTCTAGCTGCCATATATCTTTCCACTGTGCTGTGATGTTTCACAAAAGTTTTGAACCTTTCTATTCTCATAGTTTCTACCGATTGTAAATGAAAGATAAACACCTTTGCTAAGAGTATTATTGATCGATTGACTATGACTTATCAAATCACCCAGCAGTGCTCTTGGCAGAGTAACTCCAAGTAAATGTTGCATTTTTCAGCCATTCCTGAAGCTGCAACCAAAATAAATCGACATATGGGGAGTACCAAAACAAGTGACCTAATAATTGTCTCTCCGCAGCAAAATCTGCAGAGCTGGGTGGTTGTATCCCCCATATACAGTGCATTCGGAAAGTATTCAGACCCCTTGACTTTTTCCACATTTTGTTACGTTACAGCCTTATTCTAAAATTGATTAAATTGTATTTTTCCCTCATCAATCTACACACAATACCCCATAATGACAAAGCAAAAACATGTTTTTAGAAATGTTGCTAATTTATTAAAAATAAAAAACGGAAATATCACATTTACATAAGTATTCAGACCTTTTACTCAGTACTTTGTTGAAGCACCTTTGGCAACGATTACAGCCTCAAGTCTTCTTGTGTATGACGCTACAAGTTTGGCACACCTGTATTTGGGGAGTTTCTCCCATTCTTCTCTGCAGATCCTCTCAAGCTATGTCAGGTTGGATGGGGAGCGTCGCTGCACCAGCTATTTTCAGGTCTCTCCAGAGATGTTAGATCGGGTTCAAGTCCGGGCCACTCAAGGACATTCAGAGACTTGTCCCGAAGCCACTCCTGCTTTGTCTTGGCTGTGTGCTTAGGGTTGTTGTCCTGTTGGAAGGTGAACTTTCACCCCAGTCTGAGGTTCTGAGTGCTCTGGAGCAGGTTTTTATCAAGAATCTCTCTGTACTTTGCTCCGCTCATCTTTCCCTCGATCTTGACTAGTCTCCCAGTCCCTGCCTCTGAAAAACATCCCTAGAGCATGATGCTGCCACCACCATGTGTCACTTTAGGGATGGTGCCAGGTTTCCTCCAGACGTGACACTTGGCATTCAGGCCAAAGAGTTCAATCTTGGTTTCATCAGACCAGAGAATCTTGTTTCTCATGGTCTGAGAGTCCTTTAGGTGCCCTTTGGCAAACTCCAAGCGGGCTGTCATGTGCCTTTTACTGAAGAGTGACTTCCGTCTGGCCACTCTTCCATAAAGGCCTGATTGGTGGAGTGCTGCAGAGATGGTTGTCCTTCTGGAAGGTTCTCCCATCTCCACAGAGGAACTCTAGAGCTCTGTCAGAGTGACCATCGGGTTCTTGGTCACCTCCCTGACCAAGGGCCTTCTCCCCCGATTGCTCAGTTTGGCTGGGCGGCCGTCTCTAGGAAGAGTCTTGGTGGTTCCAAACTTCTTCCATTTAAAAATTATGGAGGCCACTGTGTTCTTGGGGACCTTCAATGCTGCAGACATGTTTTTGTACCCTTCCCCAGATCTGTGCCTCGACACAATCCTGTCTCGGAGCTCTACGGACAATTCCTTCAACCTCATGGCTTGGTTTTTCATCTGACATGCACTCTCAACTGTGGAACCTTATATAGACAGGTGTGAGCCTTTTCAACTAATGTCCAATCAATTGAATTTACCACAGGTGGACTCCAATAAAGTTGTAAGATCTCAAGGATGATCAATGAAACAGGATTCACCGGAGCTCAATTAATCAGGGTGATTTTTCCACAAATAGACAGGTGATGTCCTTTCCATGGTAGCCAAATTAGATACGATTTTGTAACTTTCTATTAAAATGTATTGTAGTGAGATCATTTCTTTATTTCGGGATATGACTACAGAGTATGTCCACTTCACCATCGGATCATTTTATTGGTAAACTACACGGTAATGTAAAAGTTGTATTTTTGGTGCACTTGTCATAATTAGGTTTTAATCCAGAGAGATTAGAAAAATTATATAGATCTTCTATGAGGCTGTGCAGGGATCCAAATTGCGGATTTAAAAGAAAACATGAATCATCAACGTACAATGACACCTTTTTGTTTTTAAACCCTGGATTTCTAGCCCTTGATATTATTGTTGGATCTGATTTTAATAGCTAACATTTCGATAACCATAATGAATAGATATGCCGATAATGGACAGCCTTGTTTCACTCCTCTCAACAGTTTTTAATACTTTCTGAGAAGTAGCCATTATTTACTATTTTACACCTGGGGTTACTATATATAACTTAAACCCATTGTATAAGAGATTCTCCAAAATTAAAATAGTGCAGGCAATTATATATAAATTTCAGTCGTACTTTATCAAAGTTATTTTCAAAGTCAGCTATGAATACCAGGCCTGGTTTCCCAGATTTTTCATAGTGTTCTATTGTTTCCAGTACGGTCTTATATTATCTCCAATGTATCGTCCATGTAAAAAATAATGTCTGATTAGGATGAATAATATTCGACAATACCTTTTTAATTCTATGCACTATGCATTTTGCTAGGTTTTTGGCATCACAACACAGAAGTGTAAGGGGTCTCCAGTTATTTAGGTGGACTGGATCTTTATATTTTCCATCTGGGTTCTGTTTCAGTAATGGTGAAATCAGACCTTTTTGCTGAGTATCTGATAGTCTACCATTTCTTTACAGGAGTGGTTAAAACATGTTAATAACGGACCTTTTGAGTGGAATTGCCCACAATGAGAATAACCTGTATTTAATAGAGGTTCCATGCAAAATGGAAGTGTGGTGCTGTCTCACGATGATGATGATGTCATTTATTGTTATTGTTCCCCTCTCCAGTTGGGGAAGGTGTACGGTATTGAGTCCCACGTCCTGTCCCCCGCTGAGACCAAAGACCTGTACCCTCTGATGAACGTAGACGACCTCTATGGCACGCTGTACGTTCCCAAGGATGGCACCATGGACCCCGCTGGCACCTGTACCACCCTGTCCAGGGCAGCCACTGCCCGTGGTGCCACGGTAAAGATAACACGCGCATGCATGCTTACACACACACAGACATGTGACAACTCCACCAGTCATACTTATGATATAATTTACAAAGATTATACCCTTTTTAATATACCGAAGGGGGGCCAGTATGAAAATGTATGCACTCAATAAAAAAACTAAGTCGCTCTGGATAAGAGCGTCTGCTAAATGATGTTGGTTTCTCCCGTGGGAGACCAGGGTGACACACACACACAAATATGCCAAGTTACATAAGCATTACATGGCTTGAGTACTGACAATTATTTGCTTAATTATTCCCTTCCCACTTGTGTACTAATGAAGATGCTAAAGATGGAAACATTATCTTGACACCGGCGTACAGTTGCACCTTAATGGCCAGTAAAATACATTGAGTGGGCTATAAACCTGCAGTTCCTAAAGATAACAATGTTTTTTTTCTAGACAGCTCAGAGGCAGAGCATTCTAGTTTCTGTCCAGTCTGTGTTATGTAGTGTAGTGAGGTCAGTGAACCCTGAGCATTAACTCGGCAGGGTCCAGTCCACTGTTCCACATTATCTTTCCTGCTATTAGTGATACTAATGAATATTAGACAGTAAAACATTTAGATAAAGCTCTATAGTGCTGTTGTTATGTCTGGCCCAACTGCCAGCTCCTTGTTAGATACTGAGTGGTGTTATGACCAGCGATAGATACCACGCTATGGCACTTTATACTTTGTTGGCACTACTGTTGGCATTGCTCCTGTAACACCCACTCTCAATGGCACAAAAAGCTCCTGAAGAATGAATCTCTATGCTATTATGGTTTTACCATATAACTACTGTGTGATTTGTATGTTATAACCAATGTACCCTCTAAGCTGCGTAGCTCCCCAGAGACTGCCGTGCAGAAGAAAAATCAGCCCGCGCAGAGAAGCACGAGATTTAACTTCACTCAACTTTATAGAGTTTTCCCCGTTAGTTAACACTATCATCGTTTCCCTTTACTTGTGGAATTGTGATCGAATCAATGCAATATTAGCCACTTTCAATGCAACATACCGAAACAAAACGAAACTATGCGAGACTTAGTATGCAAAACTAGCTATGCAAGAGATTTTGTTGAAGGCAGAGCGTATCGGAGTAGGATTCTATTGTATTATCAGGCACGACTCAGGCCCGTACTCTACACAGACCGGTGCGCCATAACCAATCAGAGCTGCAGTAGGCCTATATGCAAATACACCATTGCCATATATGGATTTGTGCCATTTACTTTGAACTGGACTGTTTTACAGCATGAGCTGTCGTGATTATTATGCACTTGTTTAGAGATCAAAGCAAGAGCTGCATGTAGCCACGTGTGTACATTTGTTCATATTCTTTGCTAGTTAGTGAGTTATTAGCCCAGTTATAGCTAATTTGTAGTCAGCAATGTGGGAGTGATTGCTTCCTACAAGAGCACAAAACTTGTACATTTCTAGCCATCTTTGAAAAGCTAGTCTGGTAAAGAGCTTACTGTCTTAAAGGGGCAGTGTTTTATTTTGAGACATGCTTGAATAAGCTAAGTAGCCAGTAGGCAGAGTGTAGCATAATTTGTCTGATTCTTTGTAAAAATTGTATGGGAATAATAATTAATTGTATTTTGTAAAGTCGTTCTTGCATCAAACAACACAACAAAATATTTAGTCACCTCCTTGTCTGATAAACCGGTTAATGTCAAGCCCTGCGTGTTTTTTTCAAAAGTCTCACACATTGGCTGCTACTGTAGGCTGAATGATAGAACCGCTATTTCCATGTTCAAATGTTATGTGATGCATTTTCTACATTGTTGTTTTATGGTAGGCCACTCTGGTAGGCCTACATTATGATCAAATAGCCACAGTAGCCGACATGGCCACTGTTAAAACAGTAAATTAAAGCGGGTACAGCCTCAGTGTTCACAGTAAACGCGTGCCTGAAGTTGCACAGAAATTTCACAAGGTAAAAGTTTACGCTCAGCAGACCTGAAATTAGCTCGGTGCCGAAAAATATTAGAGGGAACATTGGTTATAACATAATGGGTCGCACTTGGCTCCATCAGTTTTAGTTTTACATCCCTATATAAAAATTGCAAAAAAGTTCAAATGGTTGAGTGACAGGTTGGCACAAAAAAAATCTATCTCCGCTGCGCTGTCAGTACAATGGACAGAGCTCGCCGCGGTGTGTGTGTGTGTGTGGTATCTCCCGAGTGGCGCAGTGGTCTAAGGCACTGCATCGCAGTGCTAGCTGTGCCACTAGAGATCCTGGTTCGAATCCAGGCTCTGCTGTAGCCGGCCGCAACCGGGAGACCAATGGGGCGGCGCACAATTGGCCCAGCGTCGTCCAGGGTAGGGGAGGGAATGGCCGGCAGGGAGGTAGCTCAGTTGGTAGAGCATGGCGTTTGCAACGCCAGGGTTGTGGGTTCGATTCCCACGGGGGGCCAGTATGAAAATAAAAAAGAATAATGTATGCACTAACTGTAAGTCGCTCTGGATAAGAGCGTCTGCTAAATGACGTAAATGTAAATGTGTAAGGGGGCTATGGAAAGCCACTGGGGTGGTTAGGTATGACTCCTTTGGGTTTCCATAAAAAGCGGAAAAAAATGCTTCTCATCTCTGTGGTAGGCTAAATGAATAACGTGATACTTGTAATATTTGATTTTGATACATAAGGGCGGGGTCAAGTTTAGCAGTCATGTTGGAGGCAAACTGTCTCTTTCCTGCTCCTCTGATGTTCCTATGGGCGGCGGTCTGCAGGAGTGTCTGACCTATGATGGGATGTGTACGGTTTTCCTCCCGACATTGACTGACACTGAATTGATTATGACTGAGCTCTCTCCGGTGCATGGAGAGGGTGTGCTCTGACCCTTTACCCATGCTTGGAGAGAAAATGAATGCGCCGCAAATGTTCCTGGGTGTGGAACGGAACTTGTGTCACTGCTGGGGGGTCAGAAGACAACCCGTGTCCACTGTGCGTCATTCGGGAGAGAATGCTAACCTTACCTGCTTAAACAAAGGCCCATGCGGTCAGGTTTGTGCCTTAAGATCACCAAAAGGTTAGTGGACAGTGTTTAGGGGCAAAGTGTTCATCTGCTATGATGTTCCTTTATTTGCGCCACCAACCTACATTCACCAAATGTACATACCATGTTGGTCAATATGTATAATGTACCCATTGCTTGTTTGGAATGTGCCATTCTGCCTTTCTGTCACATGTCCATTAGTTTGGATAGTGTGTGCCTTTTAAGGGGGGTGGTTAGAAATAGTGAACCGTAATGAATTCAGTTTTAAGGAAAATTACCACTGCTACGTCCTGACAATGTTTGCGGTTACTGCTTATGTGTGAAGAACATGTCTCGAGCATAATTAATAATGTCGAGACCAGAATAAGGGGAGGGGTATGTGGTGAAGGCGTGCTATAGGCATGTCTCTGTCCACTATTGGGAACTGACTCCTGCCAATTTGTGTGCACTATTTGTTTCATTGTGTCAATTGTTTGTCAATTTGTATCAATGCCTTGTGAAATATACACTGAACAAAAATATAAACGCAACATGCAACAATTTCAAAGGTTTTACTGAGTTGCAACTCATGCGGAAATCAGTCAATTTAAATAAATTCATGAGGCCCTAATCTATGGATTTCACATGACTGGGAATACAGATATGCATCTGTTGGTCACAGATACCTTTTTTTTTTTTTAAGTAGGGGCATGGATCAGAAAACCAGTCCGTATCTGGTGTGACCACCATTTGCCTCATGCAGCGCGACGCGTCTCCTTCACATAGAGTTGATCAGGCTGTTGATTGTGGCCTGTGGAATGTTGTACCACTCGTCTTCAATGGCTGTGCGAAGTTGCTGAATATTGGCGGGAGCTGGAACACGCTGTTGTACACGTCAATCCAGAGCATCCCAAACATGCTCAATGGGTGACATGTCTGGTGAGTGGTGGTGATGAGGTTATGGCAGCAGATTAATGGCACCACATTGGGCCTCAGGATCTCATCACGGTATCTCTGTGCATTCAAATTGCTATTGATAAAATGCAATTGTGTTTGTTGTCCATAGCTTACGCCTGCCCATACCATAACCCCACCACTACTATGGGGCACTCTGTTCACAATGTTGACATCAGGGACCGTTTCTGACTGTTTGTGCAGAAATTCTTTGGTTGTGCAAACCCACAGTTTCATCAGCTGTCCGGGTGGCTGGTCTCAGACCATCCCGCTGGTGAAGAAGCCGGATGTGGAGGTCCTGGGCTGGCGTGGTTACACATGGTCTGCGATTGTGAGGCCGGTTGGACGTAATGCCAAATTCTCTAAAATGACGTTGGAGGCGGCTTATGGTAGAGAAATGAGCATTAAATTCTCTGGCAACAGCTTTGGTGGACATTCCTGCAGTGAGCATGCCAATTGCATGCTCCCTCAAAACTTGACACATCTGTGGCATTGTGTTGTGTGACAAAACTGCACATTTTAGTGGCCTTTTATTGTCTCCAGCACAAGGTGCACCTGTGTAATGATCACTGCTAGAAGGCTCCTATTTTATGCTGACACAGCGCAGCGGAGATGCATTAGGCTACAGATTTTGCGCCAACCTCAATGAAGCACTCAATGAACTTTGTTTGTGGTATAAGCAGAATTCAATATAAATCCAATGCAAGAACCCCCAAAAATTGGGCCCCCTCACCGATTTCAACTACCCCCCCTTAGTCACTTAATCCTGGCGCCGGGTCTGGTATGGATAAGGCTTGGAGTTTCTGGTCAGGTCACACGGTCAGAATAAACTCCTGGCGATAGCCATGAGTTATAACTATATACATACGTATGGATATACAGTATATGGGGTTGTCTTTGACCTTGCTCTGATTGGCTGTCTCTCCTGTCAGGTGATAGAGAACTGTCCAGTGACGGGGATCCAGGTTAGCACAGACGACCTGGGAGTGAAGAGGGTCAAGGCTGTGGAGACCGTCCACGGAACCATCCAGACCCCCGTTGTTGTAAACTGTGCAGGTTAGTCAGTCGTCTATCTCAGTGATTCCTAACCTTTTTTGTTTACTGTACCCCTAATTACATTTTGCTCTATCCGGAGAACCCACAAAGTACCCCCTCGTGCATTTTACCAGCAGGCCTATGATCTGGGCTCTAATCAAGCATCTTGTAAAATATATTGTTATTTATTTTGCTCTTTTGCACCCCAGTATCTCTATTTGCACGTAATCTCTTGCACATCTAGCATTCCAGTGTTAATGTGGTCCTCTGTAGCTCAGCTGGTAGAGCACGGCGCTTGTAACGCCAAGGTAGTGGGTTCGATCCCCGGGACCACCCATACACAAAAAAAAATATGCATGCATGACTGTAAGTCGCTTTGGATAAAAGCGTCTGCTAAATGGCTTATTATTATTATTATTATTATTATTATTATTATTATTATTATTAATACTAATTGTAATTATTTTGCACTATAGCCTATTTATTGCCTTACCTCCATAACTTGCTACATTTGCACACACTATATATATTTTCTGTTGTATTTTTTTTTACTATGTTTTTTTTACCCCATATGTAACTCTGTGTTGTTGTTTTTATCGCACTGCTTTGCTTTATCTTGGCCAGGTCGCAGTTGTAAATGAGAACGTGTTCTCAACTGGCTTACCTGGTTAAATAAAGGTGAAAAAAATAAAATAATTCTGGACGCTGAAATCACTGAACCATTACAAAAAGCCCTTAACAAGAAATAGAGTTGATTTGGACGGACCATTGATGAGTAGTTAGTTATTTAGGATGAAAGGTAATTTGTAGATCAGTGATGCTGCACAGTCCGACTGCAATGTAGTTGATCTTAAGCACGTACTGTCTCTCTCTTTGCTCTGTCAGGAGTGTGGGCCACTAAGCTGGGTGAGATGGCAGGAGTCAAGGTGCCACTCATCGCCATGCACCATGCCTACGTCGTGACAGAGAGGATCGAGGGCATCCAGGTACGTCCATACGCACGCATGTTGCACGCATGCTGCACACACACACACACACACACACACACACACACACACAAACACATAGCACTATGCTTACCTAGTGATCGAGGGCATCCAGGCAGAGGAAGAGCCTGTCTTGTCTTTACCATTGTGTGTAGTTGTCATAGTAGTACTTTATTGATCCCAACATGGGAAACTGATTTATCACCACAACCATATACACTGTCAGAGGGTAAGTCCAGGTGACATGCTATTTGACCGGAACTTTGACCTGCAATATTATCCAGCTTGCTCATGCATGTACAGTGCATTCGGAAAGTATTCAGAGCCCTTGACTTTTTCCACATTTTGTTACGTTACAGCCTTATTCTCAAATGTATTACATTTGTTTTCTTTCCCCTCATCAAGCTACACACATTACCCGATAATGACAAAAACATATTTTTAGATTTTGTTTGCAAATGTATAAAAAATAAGAAACTGAAATATCACATTTACATAAGTATTCAGACCCTTTACTCAGTACTTTGTTGAAGCACCTTTGGCAGAAATTACATCCTCGAGTCTTCTTGGGTATGACGCTACAAGCTTGGCACACCTGTATTTGGGGAGTTTCTCCCATTCTTCTCTGCAGATCCTCTCAAGCTCTGTCAGGTTGGATGGGGAGCGTCGCTGCACAACTATTTTCAGGTCTCTCCAGAGATATTAGATCGGGTTCAAGTCTGGGCTCTGGCTGGGCCAATCAAGGACATTCAGAGACTTGTCCCAAAGCCACTCCTGCGTTGTCTTGGCTGTGTGCTTAAGGTGAGCCTTCGCCACAGTCTCAGGTCCTGAGCGCTCTGTACTTTGCTCCGTTCATCTTTGCCTCCATCCTGACTAGTCTCCCAGTCTCTGCCGCAGAAAAACATCCCCACAGCATGATACTGCCACCACCATGCTTCACCATAGGGATGGTGCAAGGTTTCCTGCAGACATGATGCTTGGCATTCAGGCCAAAGAGTTCAATCTTGGTTTCATCAGACCAGAGAATCTTGTTTCTCATGGTCTGAGAGTCCTTTAGGTGCCTTTTAGCAAACTCTAAGCGGGCTGTTATGTGCCTTTTTACTGAGCAGTTGCTTCCGTCTGGTGACTCTACCGTAAAGGTCTGATTGGTGGAGTGCTGCAGAGATGGTTGTCCTTCTGGAAGGTTCTCCCATTTCCACAGAGGAACTCTGGTGCTCTGTCAGTGACCATCGGGTTCTTGGTCACCCCCCTGACCAAGGCCCTTCTCCCCCGATTGTTCAGTTTGGCCGGGCTGCCAGCTCTAGGAAGAGTCTTGGTGGTTCAAAACATCTTCCATTTAAGAATGATGGAGGCCACTGTGTTCTTGGGGACTTTCAATGCCGCAGAAATGTTTTTGATCCATTCCCCAGATCTTTGCCTCAACACAATCCTGTCTCGGAGCTCTACGGACAATTCCTTCGACCCCATGGCTTGGTTTTGCTTTTACATGCACTGTCAACTGTGGAACCTTATATAGACAGGTGTGTACCTTTCCAAATCATGTCCAGTCAATTGAATTACCACATGTGGACTCCAATCAAGTTGTAGAAACATCTCAAGGATGATCAAAGTAAACAAGATGCACCTGAGCTCAATTTCGAGTCTCATAGCAAACGGTCTGTAAATAACCGTAAAAATACTTATGTAAATAACATGTTTTTGCTTTGTCATTATGGGGTATTGTGTGTAGATTGATGAGGAAAACAAACAATGTAATACATTTTAGAATAACGCTGTAACGTAAAAATGTGGAAAAAGTCAAGGGGTCTGAATACGTTCCGAATGCACTGTAGTACTGCTGACTAGAGGGCCAGCTGAGGCTCCAGTTTGCTCTCGGTTGTCACTATCTGGCCAAGCTGCAAAGCTGGAAGTTCTACAATTTATCTTCTTAAAATCAGATTTTTTACCTAACCTCAACCACACTGCTAACCTTATGCCTAACCTTAAATTAAGACCAAAAAGCTTATTTTACTTTTCATAAATTGTTACGATATAGCCAATATTGACTTTGAAAAAGAGAAACGTCCCTTTTTCAGGACCCTGTCTTTCAAAGATAATTAGTGAAAATCCAAATAACTTCACAGATCTTCATTGTAAAGGGTTTAAACACATGCTTGTTCAATGAACCATAAACAATTAATGAACATGCACCTGTGGAACGGTCGTTAAGAAACTAACAGCTTACAGACGGTAGGCAATTAAGGTCACAGTTATGAAAATTTCGGACACTAAAGAGGCCTTTCTACTGACTGAAAAACACAAAAAGAAAGATGCCCAAGGTCCCTGCTCATCTGCGTGAACGTGCCTTAGGCAAGGAGGCATGAGGACTGCAGATGTGGCCAGGGCAATAAATTACAATGTCCGTACTGTGAGATGCCTAAAACAGCGCTACAGGGAGACAGGACGGACAGCTGATCATCCTCGCAGTGGCAGACCACGTGTAACAACACCTGCACAGGATCGGTACATCTGAACATCACACCTGTGGGACAGGTACATGATGGCAACAACAACTGCCGAGTTACACCAGGAACGCACAATCCCTCCATCAGTGCTCAGACTGTCCGCAATAGGCTGAGAGAGGCTGGACTGAGGGCTTGTAGGCCTGTTGTAAGGCAGGTTCTCACCAGACATCACCGGCAACAACGTCGCCTATGGGCACAAACCCACCGTCGCTGGACCAGACAGGACTGGCAAAAAAGTGCTCTTCACTGACTAGTCGCGGTTTTGTCTCACCAGGGGTGATGGTCGGATTTGCGTTTATTGTCGAAGGAATGAGCGTTACACCGAGGCCTGTACTCTGGAGCGGGATCGATTTGGAGGTGGAGGGTCCGTCATGGTCTGGGGCGGTGTGTCACAGCATCATCGAACTGAGCTTTTTGTCATTGCAGGCAATCTCAACGCTGTGCGTTACAGGGAAGACATCCTCCTCCCTCACGTGGTATCCTTCCTGCAGGCTCATCCTGACTGACCCTCCAGCATGACAATGCCACCAGCCATACTGCTCGTTCTGTGCGTGATTTCCTGCAAGACAGGAATGTCAGTGTTCTGCCATGGCCAGCAAAGAGCCCTGATCTCAATCCCATTGAGCACGTCTGGGACCTGTTGGATCGGAGGGTGAGGGCTAGGGCCATTCCCCCCAGAAATGTCTGGGAACTTGCAGGTGCCTTGGTGGAAGAGTGGGGTAACATCTCACAGCAAGAACGGGCAAATCTGGTGCAGTCTATGAGGAGGAGATGCACTGCAGTACTTAATGCAGCTGGTGGCCACACCAGATACTGACTGTTACTTTTGATTTTGACCCCCCCTTTGTTCAGGGACACATTATTCAATTTCTGTTAGTCACATGTCTGTGGAACTTATTCAGTTTGTCTCCGTTGTTGAGTCTTATGTTCATACAAATATTTACACATGTTAAGTTTGCTGAAAATAAACGCAATTGACAGTGAGAGGACGTTCATTTTTTTGCAGAGTTTAGTGGGATCCAGTCCTTTCCTCTCTCCCACTACCAGGTCTCCCCAGCAGGGGGCACTGTGACACTGCAGGCCCCTGTCTGCCTTCTTCCCTCCAGTGTAGAGGACTGAGGAAAAGATGGTTTAGTATAAAGATGCCTAGAAACTGCTTCTCCAATAGAAATCTTAGATCAAGCTTGTAGGTGTTGTCATGGCCACGTTAGCTAGTCAAGCTCATGAGCAGAAACACGTCATCGGGTCAAACAGTCGTGTTGAGCCGAACTGCGCATGTATATGCAGTCAAACAAAGGCACTCCTTCGATATAAAGTTGTTTTAGACTAATTTTTTTACGTGTCAGTTGAAAATTATATGGCAAATAGAAATCAAAACTGGATGGCGTTAAGAGATAGATGGGAGGGGTTGAGTGGAGCTGAAGGGTGGGACTAAAAACAACAAGGTAACTAATGTAAAATATACTGTGTCCGTAAAATGTATATAGGTTCAGAACTTTTGTGAAACAGCACAGTTAGAAATATATGGCAACAGGATGGTCTTCGGCGATAGATGGGAGGGGATGAGGGTAGCTGGAGGATGCGATTACAAACAAACAAAAGATAACTATTGTAAAATACTTTGTCCGTAAAATTGCTCAAAAAAATTAAGGGAACACTAAAATAACACATCCTAGATCTGAATGAATGAAATAATCTTATTAAATACTTTTTTCTTTACATAGTTGAATGTGCTGACAACAAAATCACACAAAAATTATAAATGGAAATCAAATTTATCAACCCATGGAGGTCTGGATTTGGAGTCACCCTCAAAATTAAAGTGGAAAACCACACTACAGGCTGATCCAACTTTGATGGAATGTCCTTAAAACAAGTCAAAATGAGGCTCCGTAGTGTGTGTGTGTGGCCTCCGTGCCTGTATGACCTCCCTACAACGCCTGGGCATGCTCCTCATGAGGTGGCGGGTGGTCTCCTGAGGGATCTCCTCCCAGACCTGGACTAAAGCATCCGCCAACTCCTGGACAGGAGTACATAAAACTGATCAGAACCGATCAGAATTCTGAAGTCTGACAGATTATTTAAAAAAATGTAAACAAGTTTTATGTACCAAATTAATATCAAATTAATAGTTGGTGGATGGAGCGAGACATGATGTCCCAGATGTGCTCAATTGGATTCAGGTCTGGGGAACGGGCGGGCCAGTCCATAGCATCAATGCCTTCCTCTTGCAGGAACTGCTGACACACTCCAGCCACATGAGGTCTAGCATTGTCTTGCATTAGGAGGAACCCAGGCCAACCGCACCAGCATATGGTCTCACAAGGGGTCTGAGGATCTCATCTCAGTACCTAATGGCAGTCAGGCTACCTCTGGCGAGCACATGGAGGCCCCCAAAGAAATGCCACCCCACACCATGACTGACCCACCGCCAAACTGGTCATGTTGGAGGATGTTGCAGGCAGCAGAACGTTCTCCACGGCGTCTCCAGACTGT